GGGTATATATTTGTCCTTCACAGAATAGCTTTAGTAAACTTTGGATTATGCTTTATCATATTCCATTGAAACCATGTAATATGCATTGTGCAACACAAAAATATTTTTTCTTCAAATTACATTTCTAACTATATTTGAGTCAGATACTTTTTGCTTTTTAATCATCATCGTAGCAAATTTGATTAGGAGTCGCTGTAATAATATATACCTTGATTGTTCCGCATAGATTTGTATCTTTGATTTTTGATTTTTTCTTTCTGTATATTTGAATATAAATGGTCAATTAAAATTAGGTGGGTCAAATTTTGTTTATTATTATAATCTAGAGACCCACTATAGGCAGACATTTAATTCTGATATTATGGAACCCAACTTTATATATATATATATATATATATATATATATATATATATATATATATATATATATATATATATATATATATATATATGTATATATATATATATATATATATATATATATATATATATATATATATATATATATATATATAATATATATATATATATATATATATATATATATATATATATATATATATATATATATATATATATATATATATATATATATATATATATATATATATATATATATATATATATATATATATATATATATATATATATATATATATATATATATATATATATGTCTTGGACAGGTAACATGCTTTGTCACCTTCGTATGTCCTTCCTAAAGCCCGCCATATAGCGCCAATACACTTGATAAACATTAGGGCGTCACTGGTTTTTCCATATATTTATTCGCTTTTAAAGCGTCGCCAGCGTTGCCGCATTTGTTCTTGCAATAAGTGCCTAAATTTTTTAGATATTCTCTCGTTCAACTTGTAACGTATTTGTATGAGCTCAGATAAAAAATTCCTCCGCATAACATTGAAGATCGGAGTTTTTCGAGTCAGTAGGATATTTTCATTTTTTTATTTGGAAGCATTTCAATTGTTTTTTACGAATTTTTCTAATCTATCTGTCAAAAGGAAAGAGTGAATTTTAAGATGAAAAACGGTATAAAATTTTTAGAATGTTTGAATGTTTTAGAACCAGAGAGTGTTGAAAATGAAATTTAGCAAAAATAAATAATTTTTCAAAGAAAATTCCACAAACTACAACATTCTATTGGCTTCTTCCGAGTTTAACTGAAACTGGCTCGTATTTTATTTACTCTATACCTGCTTATATATTGTTTGAGGGGTGGAGGAATTGAAGGAAGGGTATGAACAAACGTAATTTGGTCTTTGACTGATAGAAGAGATTTTTGGACATGTGGTAAATCTAGTTGTGACTTTATATTTTTAAAAACTTTTGATATGTTATCAGCAATTTTTTGACTGTGAGAGTCCGAAAGCAACCCTACACTTGCCGTTGTTGTCGTTCCTTACAACCAAAACCTCCCTAGCCACATATTAAAAGTTAAGAAATATGACGTGAAATCCGGTAAATCGGGTTTAACATTTTTAAATTTTAATTAAAATTTTCATTCTGGAATGCGGACATCCGATTTTTGGGGTATATTTAGATTTATAAACATTACTTTTTATATTTGAATAGTTCACCTCACATTAACTATTGAAACTAGTACTGTTCCACAAAAATATTTTTTTCTAACAGGCTTCTGAATCACGCTACTAATTAAAAAGTTGCCCTTTCTTCTTAAGAAATTCAACAATTTTTTTCTTTCAGGATCTCTAGCTGGCAAAGAGATAATTTTCTGCACGCTATTTTCAATACTATGTGCCCCTACATACATGTCGAGCAAAATTTAATAGTTAGCTTTCAGAATATATACAAAACTCCTTTTTTTGTGTTTCCTTTCCTTCTTTCCCCATTTTGCTTAAACTCTCCCAAATTTTGTGATGGATTGGATTCAGTGATATCATTTAAGCTTTGTCGAGAACGAATGGAAGTTACCGCTTCTTCTTCATCGGTATTCGGTATCTACAAAAGAAAATAATTATTATGCATGTAACTGAATTAATTAGCTACTTTTCAAACGGAAAAAATAAAAATTTTTGTGGTTTTAAAATTTTAGCCAAACTTTGGTTCTGTTATGTGCAGTAAAAGTTTTTAATTAAATTAATTTGCTAATTGTTAAATTGGTTAATTAGATTAAAACTAAAAAAACTTAATTGAATTTGTAGATGGTGAATGCACGTTTGAAGTATTACAGCAATTAAATGGCCTAAATGTTAAGAAATAGAACAAAAAAACATTCGTCTACTTGTTAGTGAAGTCGAGATTCTGGAAAAATTTTGTCTATTATTGATATTTTAAAATTGTTTTAATTTTTATTAATTTAAAATTCCGAATATTTCAATTATAGTAGCACTTGCCATATATGATTGATTATGATCTGAATGTATCCAAAAAAAAGATTTTTATTTATTTATTACAGCAGTTGTTACAAGTTACAAGATGTTCAGAAAAAAATATTTTGAAGCACGGTGTATAAATCCTAGCTAAGATTAGAGTAACACAGCTAAGCAAAGGTGTACTTTTGGTAAATAAATGACAATTTTTTTATTTGCACAATTTTTTTTTCCAAAATTAACCTTATTTTTGTGTATTCTGTATACAATTTTAATACAAACTTTTTGTTTTAGGTGATTTTGAGTGTGCTTGCGCTATCCGCTTTATTTATAAAAGACCAAATAACTTTTCTTGTTTTGGGGTTTTTCTACGTTTCTCTATATAACAATTTGTTGTTTTCAAAATATAAAAGCAGCAAAGCATTGCAAGCTAAAAGCAAAAACTGAATAATTCTCTATATTTTTTTCAATATGCGGGTGCCATTTGAAAGTAGGAATACGCTATAACTTTTAAAAACTTTTAAAAATTTCAATTTTTCGACAGTATGTAACTTTCAATTTTTGAATAGCACACCCTATAATTTTTTGAAATTTACTATTTACCGAGCCATCCGGTGCTGGAAAAAATTTAAAACATTTTTTTGCTGGCCGATAACAAATTCGTCGTAACCGGCACTTTAGAAAAGAAGTTCATAGGAAGAACAAAGCTATAAACGTTTTCACACACACACACAAAATAGTTGTATACTTATCAGACAATTTACTTAGAAATCGCTCTTGTTCGTTTCTATCGGTGTCTTGTGATTCATATTTAGGAATTTCTAAAAGGTCTAAACAATCGCTATCAATCTTATTACGAGCAAGCATTATAATTTTGCTACTCCTATTCGTTCTGAAACAATCTAGAACTAGAACAGAAAAATGCCAAAAAACACCTTTATACACACTTTATACTTGACGCTTGCTACACTCAACGCACACCAGAACTGGCGAAAATAACCGAAATAATAATCTAAGTTAATAATGACGCTTCATACGCGAATAAGTATATGATTAAAACAGATTTGTATATCTTTTACCCTTAACATTGATGCCAAGATGTGTGACGCTCTAGACGCGAACAATGTCCATAGAATGTACTCAATGTAAATATACACATAATCTTCGGTAGCGCCGCGCACGGTCCACGTTAGACTTTTCGTGGTGTAACAGTTGCGTTGGCAATGTTAAAACGCTTCTTGCACACTGACGCTCTCGTGAATATAATTTCATAATAGATAGACGCCGTAAGGATAGTAAGATATATATATATATATATATATATATATATATATATATATATATATATATATATATATATATATATATATATATATATATATATATATATATATATATATATATATATATATATATATGTATATATATTCATTTTAAATGAAACGGATGTCACAATGGGCTATTTGACATTTTTTTTCGTTCTCATAGATTATGGAACCCAACTTTAATTGCTAAAAAGGCAATGTCGTATGAAAAGTTGTTCTGATGTCATACAAAGCTGCTTCAAGTAAAACTACCGCTTTTATTTATTTAATGACATACTTAACAGCAAAATAATGGATTTAAATGCATTTATATTTGTATATAGGTAAAATCAAACCTTAATTATTATTAATAACAAAATGTTGTTTTAACATATGGAATTCTCTAATGTGCCTCATTACCCTTTCAATGTGAATTCTGAATGTAAAAATAATTTTTGTTTGTCATACTTCTGATTTAGACAATTTTGATTCTGTAATAATAGTATTTTTTGGAGTTTATTAAATGCAGGTCCAGAACCACTGGCATTACTCATTATCCATTGTTATTATTCCTTGATTAAATCCTATTTTATATTGACAGTAGTTTTCCATTTATTGGAACGCAACACAGCTAAGATTTAACAAACAACCGATTGATTCAATTTTAAACTCAAACAAAGAAATAAAAGTATTCTGCTTTTAGGGATGGGCTTTTAGAATGATATAATAATAAATAATAATAAAACGTTGATTTACACTGGAATTCTTCACAATATCGAGATTTCTGCGAGAAATGTTAAACCATTTCCTGCGTATTTTAGCATTTTTGAGAAGACGTACAAATATTTTTTCCAGAGTCTTTATTGAGCAGCGTATTTGAGCAGGCTGGTACTAGACACCATTATTAACTCATTTTGTGACGTAAAGTGCAGTAAATAACTAAATAAGTTATGTGTTAGAAGCTTAGCCGTTTGAGGTTTCTTTGCTATTCTGTGAACTCGTTGAATCGATTCGACTACATATGACCTACAGTTTCTAGTTTTAATTAAATTGAACGTAAATACCTTTTGTGGGTTCCATAACCAATCTAAATAATTTGAACGTCTGACGGTTATAAAAAAAAATCCGCCATTTCCAGAAACAGTTTCGTTAAAAAGAAGATTATGATCTAATTGACCTCCATGATGCTAGTCAATAGTTGTTTTTATCGAGTCTACAAATAATTTTGTGTGACATAATTCTATCTTTTAACACTGTTGACTTTTGTCCTATGTACTAGAAACTACATTGCTATTCCTCAGTGGTTCATCGCTATCCTTAAGTTAAGTTTAGTGAAGGCACTCCTTAATGACTTTATCTGTTTATGGACAATCTCGATGTTTGGTTGAATTTTTAGAATTTTTGATATTTTATTTAACAAATCTTATGTATTGCAAAATAATACACATGGGGTGCTATAGATAAGATGAGAGTTGTTCATTAATATGTCGTACAGTTTATTTAAATTGCTGATTTTAGTTTTAGTTGTGTGGAGCAACTATGGGTTTAATATACTAATCTGCTAATAAAGTATTGTTGCTATCTTTGATCACTTTCGTGTCTAGGAATGGTACGTTTTGTTCAGTTTCACTCTCTATTGTGAATTGCAATTTGGGATTTATAGCTATTGGATACCACTAGAATCTCGTTCATTCCCTCACTAGAGACTGATGTGATAATGTCATCTACATATTTCCTTAAAAACGTTGGTACAAAAGACAGCTTTGCTATGCAAACCTCTAACCAAGGTTAACCAAAATGTACCGAGCGAGGATTGGAGAGAATTTTTATCACAAGAAACGATTGTCAAGTTTAAAATATTGTATTGTCTTGCAGATAAAATATTTGGTGGTTGTTAAGACCCATTATACAACATCTTTTCTGGCACATACGGCTGTTAAACCAGCTAGGTGCCCGCTAATAATTTATAATGTGCATATGTTTGTGTTTCACAAAAAATTGCATTGCTTTGAAAAGGAAAACGATATTTAAAGTGAAAAGTTGACAAGTAGTTTGGCGCAATAAGTTCCACATTTTGTCTCAATATTGCTGTTATAATAATATATTTTTCTTCATTTCAGAGAATCGAATTAAGGGAAATTTCAACTTTTTCGCATTTGGCGACACTTCACCATTAGGTCAAATATTATCTTTGAACAGCATGTGCGAAGAAATTACGGAATATTTTTTCGCACATCCAAAAGTGCAAAATCTGCTCAAATCTCAAGAACATTTTGATGCCGTTGTAGTAGAATTGTTTGTAAATGAGGCTGTGACCATTTTCGCGCATCACTTTAAAGCGCCCTTAATAATTTTGAGCAGCTTGGGTCCAAATTTCTGGATAAACGGTTTGGTTGCAAATCCGGAACCCCCCGCTTACGTGCCGAATTTGTTTTTGAATTTTAACAGCGAAATGAGGTTTTCTCAACGGCTCTATAATTTTTTGGCTGGAATATTTTGTCAATTGAACACCCATTTTCTGATTTATCCCAACCAGAATAAGATATTGAAGAAATATTATCCAGATGGTCCAGATCTCAGCGAAATCATCTATAATACGTCCCTAATATTCCTAAATTCGCACGAAAGCATTCATGAACCTGTACCTATAGTTCCAAATATAGTTCATATCGGAGGATATCACGTTACTCCACCCAAAACTTTACCAAAAGATTTACAACACTTCTTGGATAATTCAAAAGAAGGAGCGATATATTTTAGTTTGGGTTCAAATGTAGTTCCATCTCAAATGCCTAACGATACGAGAGATGCAATTTTGAAGGTTTTGGGATCCAGGAAAGAAAACATTTTATGGAAATGGGATCAAGATTCGTTACCTAATCAGCCTCCAAACATCAAGCTATCCAAATGGTTTCCTCAACAGGATCTTTTAGGTAGGTACACATAATTAAAATCACCTTCATGTGGGCTTTGAGATAAACGTATTTCCATAAAACTTACTAGATAAATGAAATATACTTAAAAAGAGATTTCTAATTTTTATTTTCATAAGCAACACACAAACTGAATTTCCGCTTTTTTATTTTATAGAGTATATAGAGTGAATATGGAAATTTTTTATTTCCAGATTTCGAACATTTATATTTGAAGTTCGAAATATTCTTTAGAGCGCTTCCATCGATTTTCAAGCGCTGGGCGCTACTACTTATAGAGTAAAAGGCTAAACTCTGGAATAAATTTATTTAAAAACCAGGTATCGGATTTTAAGAAAAATGCTAGCACACTTCCGCTAGAAGGGAATCAATAGAATGACATGCAAGATCTCCAGATATTACTGCACTTTGTTTTTTCCTCTGTGTTTAAGGAAAAACCACAAAATTTAGATGATCTAAAATTTAGAATTATATACGAAGGGTGGCAAATTAATGGAAATATTCATATTTATTAAGGTTTTTTAAATTGTTTTCTCACTATGGATTTTGTGGATTGAGTGTTTCTGGATATTTGGAGCTAAGCAAATTACAAACTTCTTGTTTTGTCTCCATATCAAAAGTTCTTAAGAAATATACCGTCAAAACCAGGCACAAGAAACACGAAAGAGCCTTAAGGCTAAGGCAAATAAACTTATCAGCAGTTGCAGAACACAATCATAAAACCGACCATAAAATTTTATTCGATAAAATTAAAATTCTTACATGTAATCATATCTTCTACCAACGAAAAATCCGAAAATCAATAGAAATCTTTACTTAACTGACATTATCAGGTATTTTCCTGTCACCAATATGGAAATCAATCATTTGCGACAATGTTCATGCCCCTTCTTTAGCTCCTTATACTAATTGAATAAGATTACTGGTATTAGCTTTTGCTCAAAAAAAGTAAGAAATAGGTATATGGTGTGCTGCATGAATGATGCCTGAAATTTTTCGCAAAATTCAAAAATGGATTTAAAAAAATGGTGTTACATTTAAAAAACAAACTTTTTGAAATAAAATTTCAATTCCCTGAGTTTCATTTAGATGCCCCATAGTCACTTTCTTTACTGACAGAAATTGCTCATTAACAGTAAGTGTTTGCTACATAAATTATAAGTGAATTTTGACACAGAATTCGAAATTTATTTTTTAAAAATGCTGTTTTATTTATATTTTCTGTTCACTATATAATTATTGACTTTGACCATGTTTCAGCACATCCGAATATTAAACTATTCATCACTCATTGTGGTCTACTTAGCACCACGGAGGCAGTTTACCACGGAGTACCTATACTCGGGTTTCCTATTTTTGGTGACCAACAGATGAATGCTGAACGGGCTGCAACACTCGGAGTGGGAAAATTTATTGATTTTTTCACGATAAATGAGAAAAATTTAAAGGAAGCCATTAACGACATATTGGATAATCCTAGGTAGGTGAATCAGTTTAATAGATTCTGAGTGAAGTAGAATTATAACTTAGTGACACTTAATAGATACCAAGTTACATATTTATTTAAAACAGATGAAATTATAGTGGTGTTATATGTGAGTGTGAGGTACTAATAGCAAAGTATTTTTCCTTTTCTCAGGCATCTGGAAATTGACCCAGAATAGCACATCTAGTATGTTCACTGTGAAATTGAGAAAAATATATTGCTTTTGTGTGGTAATATCAAATTTTTCTGCAAACCAACCTAAAAGGCGGGTCAAATGATATGTGCCTTTTTTTAAGTCACTTGCTAATCAAATTAAAAAATTTGACTACCCAATTATAGCTATAAACTTAGCTATTGACAAATGCCTTTCTTAACAGTTTAACTTCAGTTTTAATACAGACGTTAATTAGGTATTTGGCCTTAATTTAGCAATCTAAAGAATTTTTTCTAAGGTGAAATAACTTCGACATGTACCTAAACATGCTCAGTGGTTTCCTGCATCGCATTCTTAGAAACAATGGTAATTTGTTTGAGCATCTTTCATGATGTTAAATTAAGTATTAACCATGCAATTCGATATCTTTTGTAATTCGTCTTATTTAAAAAAATGAGTTTTTAATTCAAAACTCATTAACGACATTTTAAGAATAATAATAATAATAATAATAATAATAATAATAATAATAATAATAATAATAATAATAATAATAGTAATAATGATAATAACAATAATAATAATAATAATAATAATATTGGAATGGATTTCGGATTGGATAAATGCGCATGCAGTTGTGACGGGGAAAACCAGAAAACGACAGGTCGATAACCCTAATCAACTATACGGAAATTTAGAATCTGCAGCCAGGATAATATTACAAGTATCTAGGAATAACCCAACATTATGACATCGACATGATCAGGACTCGCGAAGTAGTTACCAGTAAATTAAAAGCTCGGATAAGAAAAGTAATGAACACAAAATTGAATTTCAAAAACAAAATTCAAGCGCTTAACTCCTGGGCTTTCCCCAGTTATTATTTACACTTTCGGAGTCATAAAGTGGTCGGCAACTTCACTACAACACTTAGACCAAGAAATAAGAACAATCTTTACCAGGCTCATGATTCATCACCCGTGATCGCGATATCTAGACAGACATGACATGGTTGCTAAGGTCATCGACCAGGGAGTGAGCAGAAACCTCAAAACTGTTAGCGTAACAAAGCCTACGCATACATACTTGCTTCGAAGCATGAAACAGCCTCTGATACCCTGTATTGGGACATACCAATACAAACGGCAAATACACGAGCCCACAACAGACCGGACATTGTTATTATCAACAAAGCACAGCGCGATAGATACATCATTGATATAGGATGACAATGTACAGAAAATCTACAACGAAAAAATAGCAAAATACGAAAAATGATACTCTGCCTTTCATTATCTCAGCTAACGGGCCTGTACACAAAAACTTTACGAAACATCTCAAACAGTTGAAGTTAGACTATACTTACCTGATCCAAGCCCAAAAGACCGCAATTCTAGGCACCCTGTTGAATTGTCCGAAAAGTCCCTGTAGTATCTACCGAGCAGGTTTCTTGGACAACATTAACCGAATATTACAATAATAATGAAACAACAAGCTCTAATAGACATCAATCGATATCAGTTTTTTAAAAGTTCTAGAGATGGCGACGCCGATGTTCAGAAAAATTTTCCAAGGAACATGGTTCGATTGCAGAAAACAGTGAACACTCCATTCCGTGTTGAGCATAAGGATAGTAGCAAGTCCGCTGAGCCTGGGCACTGTAGAGTTTGTCATATTAATGTTAGAAGCCTTAGAAAAAAAACTCTGCACCTTGAAGAGGTTCTTCTATCTAGAGAACTTCCGGTTGTAGTGTGTGTATCTGAAACTTGGTGTAGAGATATGCAGAAGTGTAACCACAATTACGACGAGATAATCCTACTTAATATTAACAATTATTTATTAGCATCAAATTTTTCTCGAAAAATCTTCGAAGGGGGTGGTGTGACTGTATAGGCTCGCAAAGGTTTGAATTTTATTTCAAGAATGGTGGTAATGGCCAGTGTTGAAAAACAATTTCAATGCACTGTTTCTGAAATTAGGTTTCATGAAAATTTATTTTAAATATTTTGCTTGTATCGTTCTCCTTCCGGAAGCGTTGATACTTTTGTAGATCTTTTGTAGATTGCGTGAATGAGTTATTGCGTGGATCGATCGCCAGTTCTACTGTTGCTTTTATTTTCGGTGATTTTAATGTGCACTTCGAAAACGCAAATTCAGGCGAGACTCTTTATATTGTAAATACATTTGCAAGTTACGGGTTCAGTAAAACTGTAACCGAATACACTCGAATCCATAATGGGTCCATGTCTATAATCGACAATATTTTTACCAATATTGACTTGACTTCCTTTCAGTCAGAAATTATTCCCTCCGATTTTTCTGATCATTTTTATGCAAATGCTATCTATACCTTTTTGCAACTTTCCTCCTTTTTTCTACAAACGTTGTTTCAAAAGTGAAAGTAACATAAATAAATTTCAGGTTGAAGTATCTATCGTGGACTGGCAGTGTTTGTTTGACGGTGTTGGTACAGCTGAAGTGAAATATGACTTATTCTATAAAAAAATCAGGAATTGTTTGACTCGTCCATATCAAAGATGCATGCACAAGGTCCACAGAGCTTTTTGGCTCTGTTGTGGCGTTGAAATTAGGGAACGGAGTGAGTTACTTAGAGACTTGAACAAATATTTTACATATACCAACAGTAATGAAATTTTAACCAAATATAGAATTATAAAAAAGTACCATGAAAAACAACTTAAGAATGCTCAAAAAAGTTTTTACAATAAACTTCTTACAACCTCTGTTAACAAATCTCAAACGGCGTGAACAATTATATGAAGTGAATTAAATGAAAGTAACCTATCTAAACATAAAAAGTTTCCAGAGTACTTCATTGATGATGAAAATTTTAAAGTTTTTTTTGTGGATTCCGTTAGAATATAATAAATAATATAAAAACAACACAAATAACTAATAAAAAATCTTTAAGTCAAAGTCTATTCTTAACACCTTTCACGAGTGTTGACCTTCGATGCATTGGTGCAACGGTACTTGATGACCTTGAAATTTACTGTTACTTGTAAGTTAAGATTTCATAAAATTAGCTAATACGTGTTAGCTAAACAATTTAACTCCTTATTTGGGTTTGAGCAATTTAAATTTAAAATGAAACCCTTTTCTAGTAATTGGGACTCTTTCTCAGAAAATGTAGTATTAGACAAATTGGGAAATCTTTTGTGAAATTGATGATTAGAAAAGTTTGACTGCTTTTTAGCGGCTTTTTTTAAATTGTCTAGTTTGGATTTTCAGTTCAGTTCAGTTCGGATTCTAAGATCTAATTAATTAAATCTATGAGATAATTCAAAATGTATTACCTATACCAAAATTAAATTATTTTCTTGTACTGATGTCTGCGTTTTTCTTTCAACCATTTTGTCTCACCTTGGAGCTGGGCTTTTCTTGCAGCGAAGTTATATTGGGATACTACATATCTTGGGATACTACATATCTTGGGATACTACATATCTTTTAACTAATCTGTAATTTTTATTTTTACCTCTGGTTTTTGAGACATTTTGAAGGTAACGCCCTTTTAATACCTATGATTGTTGTATGGCTAAGTTGTGTTGTATTTCATGCTCGTTCAACTACATTATCAATTTGCTGAAGGATTCCATTTTTAGCTTGATTATTTGGCTGTGATTGCAGATTACATCTTGGAAAAGTTTATTAACATTCTTGACGTTGATTGTCATAAAGAAACTACAATGATTTTTTTTGTCTCTGTCAGCTGACATAGATTAAACGTAATGAAAAACTTTCTTGGGAAGTGTGGTATTTTATTTTACAGAAATCATTGTATATATCCCTAGACCCGTGGTATTACGGAATGAAAGCATGTTTGCGTTATGTTTATTTGTGAATATTTCATTCTAGATACTTACGGAATACAAAATATAGGTCGGAGTTAATGCACGACCGTCCAGTTAAACCAATGGATTTAGCCGCATACTGGGTCGACTACGTCATAAGGCACAAGGGGGCACAACATCTGCAAGTTGCTGGAGTTCAATTACCGTTGTACAAATATTTGATGCTGGATGTTCTGGCAATAATATTTGTTATCGCCTTTACTATTTTCTACTCATTTTATAGGATCGTGAAACATTGTACGACTCAAACAATAAAAGAAAAGAAGCATTAATTACCCAACTGTTTCGCTTTATTTTGGCAATCGTCTTATTTTACCTCAAAGGTTCAAAAATGAACAAAATAATGAGCTTATAAATGCTTGTGCTTTTAGAGCTAGAATTGTCATTAAATTTGACAAAGAAATAGACGTAAATATGAAACAAAGTTTACTTTATAACTGTTTGCGTTGTGGTATCATAGAGCAACAAATTAAATCACACTTAGAAAAATATCATATAATTGGGCTTTTGAAAACATCATAGTTATTCCACGGCATTGCCAATAACTGTGAGCTGCATTGTAGGTACAACATAAAAATAAAATAACTTTTTTATTCCTTCTCGGCTTCAGTGAAGCTTTTGATAAACTTAATCATAAAATGTTGCTTTTAGTATTCCGTTTTTGTAGCTTTTCTGTTCAGGCTGTTTTTTACTATGGTACCATAGTGTGCCGCTGCTTTGCTTTGCTGTCCTGCCATCATCATCATCATCAGCATTGCTTGCAACTTAACCTCTATCACATTTATTAAAACTACTAGATTTGGTTATGGATCGGGAATTGAGATTCACAGAGCACATCAACCAGTCTATGTGTACAAAAAGGTTTTTTTTTTAATTTGAAAAAGTTCTACAAACATAGAAAATTGCTAACAAAAAAGATTAAAACTATATTTATTATTTGTTTAACGCAAACTGACTTTAACAGAATTTAGCGATTGCAGAACTCTTACCTGGTACCCGAAAATATCAACATATCTCTCACACTTTAAAAAGTAAACTCACGCACAACACACTAAACATTTATAATTTTGTAAAATAAGGGTTTTACCCATTTTGGTGCTTCTGACAGAACCCAATTTTCCATATATCAAAAACGAACTAATACACAGAACTTTAAAAGATCAAAATTTGAGGATAATTCCTTGTGCAGAGGTTTTTCTCAAGACTATTTGAGATTACTTTTATTAATTGCTAAAATCAATCGGTCAGAATCGAGGTCAAAATTGCTTGTGATACACTTAGAACTGGTTGTATTAGCTAAATATAAACATCAAAATTCACGAAATAAATATACTAAAACTAATGCAAAAATATTCCTGAGTATAAATGAAAAATCATCAAAATCATTGGAAAAAATTTGTAAAATCGTAATTATTGGTAAAACGCATAATTTAAAATTAGTGAAAGAAACTAACCAAAACTGGTATTCCACCGATTCTCTTTTTAATTAAATAAATAGTTCATTCATTCATCAATTAATAAATGAAAAATATTATTTAGGAGACATTTGTGAAAAAGTGTGATGTCCGGCCTAACCTACATATTTTAAAAATGATTAAATCAAAATGTCTATATTAGCATAGACAACCGCCTGTAGCATCAGGAATTTATCCAGTCATTGTTGGAATTTGCTACAATAACATAGAGAGATTAGAGCAATACATGACATTTAAAAAATTCATTTAAACATCGAATTCAGTGACTGGCAAAGATAAGAAATATTATAATTATAATGATTAGCGATGTTTATTTTTCAAAAATATTTATGCTGTTTGTGCTCAACATGAATTTTTCCACAGTACAAATAAATTATTTTAAAGGATATAAGAATTCGTATTTACTTTCGATGTACGATAGAGTAAAGTTCATTATCTCATTGGTTTCAAAAATTATAAAACATTATAAATAAGACCAACATGGACGCTGAGAGTTTATCAAATTCGACAGATTTCAGTTTAAACATAGCATAGCAAGATGAAACGCAGACATTTTTAGTGCACCCTATAATGTGTTTAATTAGGTATTTTACAGAAGGAAGTACAAAAACATTTTAAGTCCTCTGGAACTCCCTTGCTGAAATTCAAGAATTCAGAAGTTTCATGTCTATAATTTACAGCCTGCATTCTATTTTTAAGATAACTTCACAGCAGGCTAAGAACTATAATAAGTCCTTGTGTGCTGTGTTGTTTCTATAATAACTGCTGTAATCAAACTGGTTTTCAGGTAATATTTTATTTTTCTTCCAATTTTTTAAATTCGTTTGTCTAAAAATTTTTCGAAAATCTTGGAAAATTATGATATTATTTTGGCGAAGGGACCTACTTTGACCACTTTCTATTTTTCTCCAAGGAGTGAGATTATAATATAAAAATTTATACAAACAAGGTAAGAATAAATTAATCGTAGGTTACTTATATATACTTATATTAATATTTTTTATGACAATGAAAACGTCCATTTCCTCATCGCAAACAAATTTAAAGAATTCATCGGTAAGTCTGGCGTATGAGTAAAAAAATGATGTTCAGGATCAGCTGGAAGATGAATTATGGAATTCAGAAAATGACTATTAAGCTCGTTGACGTCAGATGACTTCTCTAGAATTTCCATTCTTGTTTTTTTACCATTTCAACAGCTTTAATAATTGAAAATGGTTTTAATTTAGAAGCAAGACATTTTGTTAGAGAACATGAGGGGTGACAGACTTTTTCACGAGTTTTGATAAAGAAGAAGTCTTGGTAACAGATTTAAGGATGCATGTCGTAGATGACGTGTTATCCTTTTGAAGTTGACGATGGGATCCGTTTGTAAAAATACCCCCCTAGTTGCTCCGGGAATAAGGCAGGCGAGGCTTATGGTGGATGGGCCCGCCCTCCCTCGGTCCAGGGAGCTGCTTGGACTGACCAGAAGGGAGTGTAGAGCACTAACAGGACATTGCAGGCTTAGGAGGCATCTTTGCTTGCTAGGCATTGAAGACGATCCGGAGTGCAGGTGGTGCATGGAAGGGGAGGAGACCCCGTATCAACTGCTCACCGAGTGCCCTGCTTTGACATGGACAAAATTTGGAGTCTTCGGAACGGCCCTGATCGATTCGGACTCAGTGCACGGTATTGGGTTAAAGAAGTTGCTGACCTTCTATAGGAGAAGCGGCATTCTGGACGCGGTCTAGAGGCATAACCGGCCCATCTGGTGGCTTAAGTGCTTGGACGCCTGCTGGGGGCGCCCCCCTTTAATACCAATGCCAATAACACCACTCTAGTTCAAAAATGTCGCTTACTTTTAAAATGTCAACGAAACTTTTGCTGATACAGAATAAAAAAAAACTTATTTCGACTTGAAACATATGTCCCCAAAATCTTGTTATTGAATTTTGAAACATCCCACTTAATTCCTACGACAAGTTTTAAAGAACGTGAAATTTCCTGAGCCGCCCCTGGCTACATCGGTCGAAATGATTATTTAATGAAAAGCGTCGGGTATCCGCTAGACATTTTGCCGATATCATTAAGTTCGGAAACTGTAACTCCTGCCTCTGATCGAACACGAAAATGACTAGACTCATTTTCAATATTTTCGTATTAGGTTTTGTGCCGTGCGGTTATTGTGCGAACGTTTTATTAATCTTTCCCATGCCAGGAAAAAGTCAGTACATATTGGGAAATGGTTTGGCAAAGGGATTGGCGAAACGAGGCTTTAATGTTACCATCGTAAGCCTGTTTGAAGAAAAACACCCTCCGGCAAACTTTAACCAAATTGTCTTGGATGGGGTTCTAGAGAGGTTGACAGGTAAGCGGTGTTACAAAAGCATTTTCTTACTAGTCTTTAATATTATGAACTAATAATTTTTTCAGATAAGCTAAGCGGATCTGACAAAGTACACAATATGTCAAATTTCATTAAGATAAAATCGATTATGAGATATAAAAAAATGATTTTTACCTGAAATAGTTATTACATTCAAAATTTAAGACCTTGATAAAGTTATATCGATACTACAAGTCACACTGAGAATGCAGAGTGGTTAGTATAGACAATGATGCATTTCACACGGGAGAAAGCCGCACAGCCTTGTCGACAATCTTATAGCAGACCCAGAGTCGGTTCAGCCCAAAAGATACATGGGTGTCATGCGGATAGATAATATCATTTTAAATATAGTCGGTACGATGTGTGCTGGCACAGTCGGCAATAAAATGCCATACACTTACACCTCAACAGATGCTGTTCCGCCCTGAATATTTGTCAGATAAATGCAAGAAAGCCGTCACTAACGATCACGATTTTATTACTTGGGAATAAGAGATACAGAATCAGACACGGTGTTGTCGAAACAATTGTCATGTGAATATCTGAACTTTTATTTCTTATTTATTTTGAAAAATGGATTTTCATCAAATAAAAGTCACCTCAGTGAAACCATACTGATGTTTTATATCAGTAATCGATTTAATTTCTTTTCTATTAGTCTTTAGCATTCAGTTTTTCACTTTTACTTTGAGTGGTGCTAATTTAATTATTGTTTTTATTTCGTTTGGTATTTCATGGTATATTTTGGAACTTGTACAGGGTGTTTTCAAATTGAATGTTAATTATTAAGGAGATGATTTTTAAAAAGAATACTTGATATGTAATATATCATTATATATATATATATATATATATATATATATATATATATATATATATATATATATATATATATATATATATATATATATATATATATACAAGGTTTTTCACTTAAAACTTAGCACGCCAATAAGTCCAAAACGAAAAGAAATATTTAATTTATGTAAAAAGTAGTCAAAGTGTGGGGTCAAGTAGATATTTCCTAAAGTTTAAAAAATTCGACGCCTGCAAAGAGCTGGGCGTCGCGAAGCGTCGAAAAATTATTCGATTGCAGAGACTTTGGAAATACGCGCATACAAAAGTACATATTATTTAAAAACTTTTTTGTTATTTACTCAAACTTATTTACTTTACCCGTTTCTAAGTTATACCGATTTAAAGTAAACATTTCTTGATTAATAAAAAATGTGATTAACGCTTATTTTTACAAGTATGCCATGAATGTTAGTTACTATGGCAACCATTGTTATCGCAGTTGTTTTAAGTGCAATTACAAACGTAAGTTGTTATTGCTGTTTCAAAAAATTGTCACATTTTGTCACAAGAAATATCCAAATTTGTTCGGTTTAAAAAGAACTAAGAATTATTATGTGAAAATGGTGCAATTTAGCAATGAGGAAAAAGTAGACATGTTACTGGTGTTTGGATAATGCAGATGCAATTGTAGAGAAGCAAAAAGAGTTTACGCACGGCCAAAATAGACATGTGTGCCAAATTTCTTTAAAATATGTAAAGTGGTATTAGAGATACTAAAAAAATAAATTTTCTTTTTGAAAACAGCAATCCTGTATCTCAAAAGTTAAGACGTCTAAGTCATATCTTCACATGAAGATTTCTTTTTAAAATGGACCCAAAAATCGCCCTCTTAATTATTGAAATTCAATTAGAAAACCACCTGTATAGAGAAATGAGCGTTTTGCTAGCGACGTTTTAAATTAGGGTAAGCGGCCCGTGTGACTTTTTATTCTCATATGACGGGGGATATATGTCTGATAGTTTGTCTCTTTTTTTAAACTGTCGGAGAACAATATTTTGAGAATATGATTGACGAAAATCTAGAAGTTCACACTGCCGGTAAAGATCATCAGATGTATAATATTTACCTTTACCTAAACTTATTCTAATTAGCCATTTCTGTGCAATTTCGAGTTGTTGTAAATGAGTTTCCAAAACTGCACCCCATGTTATTATACCGTAGGTAAGATCTAGTTGTATAAAAGCTGAATATAGAATTTTTAGATATTTTAAATCAAGAAATGTCTTTAGTTTTTGACATTGATTTAATGACATTAAATATGTTTATCCCATTTTAAATTAGGATATATTACTCGAGATATTTAATTTTGGATGTTGCTTGAATTTGTACAATTTACTTATTAACACTAATGTCAACCCAAAATTGTTGATAATCTTTTTTTTTAACATTCGGTCAACTTTAATTGCAATTTATAAAATTATTCTAGGGGATAAGGATTTGCCACGTACCTTAGGAAGATGACAGATAATGAAACATTTAGGTTTTGAAGTGTGGTCGAAGAAGCATAATATTAATTGGCGACACAGGTATTTAAGGTCGATGAAGAAATATTGGCAACAAAATTATCTATTTAAATGGGAGTTGATTCAATATAGGTCATACGATTAATCATGCTTCCGATTCCGATTCCAATACAGAACGTGTTCATTCTTTAATAAATGTTTAACATGTTACTGAAAAAAACTGAGTAATTACGGCATAAAAAAGTCGTACTCGGTTATTCATTTTATTTTGACACCCACCTACAGGGTTAATTTTGAAAGATAAAAAAAAAGTGTAAACACAAACGTTTGAGGATCGTTGGTTATGCAAATGTCAGAAAAAACAAACGACGATCGAAAGCTGTCAAAATGACAGCAACGTCATTTTTTTAAATTCGAATGCCCTAAATATTATTACTTAACTCGGAGAACATTTTTTCCTAATTTCCAAAACATATAATTCATTGACATTTCATTTAGCGTTTTTGAAATGTTTCAGTTTAAAAATAATTATCAATCGATTTCTGGACAATAGCCATATCTGGCTTGATAGCAACAATATTATCTATATTTGCAAAACGCGAAATAACAAAATTATATTATTCACACAATAAAAATGTTAATAATTAATGCTAAACATTTTCCACATAACCTCCATAATTTTCTATATGTCGGACAATATTTCCATTCAATTTCCTATTAATACATGAGGCGATAATTATGTTATATACAGTGTGTCCAAGATAAGGATGCACAGCATGGGGATCTCGGAAACTATAAGAGATACAGTGTCGGTTAAATTAGACAAAAGTTGCGCATTTTAATACCGAACAAGATCCCGTTTTACAAATTTGAAAATTTCAAGCCGTTCCGGAAATATCCGAGAAAAACCGAAATATTGCGATTTCGTTTTTATTATTTTTTAAAGCTATTTGAAAAGATATGAAAAAACGGAAAACACTTTTCCATTGGCACTTTTTAATCTCTCCAAATTGACGTTAACAAATTTTCATTACAGCGTTTCGATTCCATGGAACCACCATCAACTTTGATTTTTCTTATGGGACGGAAAAAAAGTACACACAGTATTAGATTGTGCTTTTCATTGCGAATTCAACGATGTACGATACAATACGGTTACTTATGTTTTTATCCAGAAAAATGGCTTTTTAATACATTTCTAGTATTTTATTGTAGTAGGCCATGAGATCCGAACGATGAAAGGCAAAAGAAAATGGTTGACAAGTTCGAGTTAATGTGTTTATTTATTTACTAACTCTAACTGTTCATTTAACATAACAACTAAATCCAACAAGTTAATGAAAAACAAATTCTATAACAAATGTTCGAATAAATGACCTCCATTTTCTAGGCATAAGTACGCCCGTCTCACGGTAGACTCCAAAACACGACTTAACATTTCAGGAGTAATTTTATTAAACGCTGCTCGTACTGATTGACGTAATTGTTCCTCGTTGTCAAAACATTCTTTGAATACCTCATTTTTTATGTAGCCCCATAAGAAAAAGTCCAAGGGAGTTAAGTCCGGGGACCTTGGAGGCCAAGGTGTTTCACTGTAAGTCCCAATGTATTTTCCATCAAACCGTTCAGTTAAATATTGGCGAACTTCTCTGGAGTTATGGGCTGGGGCACCATCTTGTTGGAACCAGCAGCCTTGCACAGCGCCTAGCGGTAAATCATCTAAGGCATCTTCTAAATCGTGCCTCAAGATGTCAAGGTACCGCTCGGAAGTTAAGGAATTATTATAGAAAATAGGGCCTATAATCTTGCTACCAAAAATCCCACACCAAATATTAAACCCAAAGCGAACTTGATGTCTGGATAGTCTATTAACACGTGGATTTTGTTGCGACCAATAGTGTGTATTGCGCCTGTTATAAATACCGTTATTGGTCACCATACTTTCATCAGACCAAATCACTTTATATGGAAAATTAAAACTCTCATCACACATCCTGGTATACCACTCACAAAAATGTCTACGTCGTTCGTCGTCACCCGGTTTTAATCCTTGACATATTCTGAATTTGTAAGGCTTAAATTCATTTTTCCTTAAAATAAACTGAGCTGTAGATTTAGCTACCCCATTCTGGTCTTCAATTTCTCTGGTAGAAGTTTGTGGATTTTCGATAACAGATTGTAGAACAATGTATTGGTTTTCTTCATTGGAAGGTTTTTGTCGGGATAATGCAGGCTTCTTAAATGATCCATATTCTTTCAGATTAAATAACAAACTTCGAAAAATACTCTTGTCAGGTTGTCTCCGCTCTCCGGTATTTGTTAGAATACATACGCTCGGCTTCCACACAATTTCTTTGGCATCAGATGTAGCAAGACAGCATATCACATTTTTCTTCGTTTGTAAAATTACCTCCCTCCATTGTAGAACAAAATAAATTAGAAAAAGACAACAACAATAAAAATACAAAAACAATAACTAAAGGAATAAACTTATGATCGACTGATAACAAAGACAAATAACATTAATGTGTCATTGAAATTGACTGGATGTCATTTTGTCATGGCCTACTCCATTTAAATGCTGAAATGTATTAAAAATCCATTTTTCTGGATAAAAACATAAGTAACCGTATTGTATCGTACATCGTTGAATTCGC